AGGAAGGAAGGAAGAAAGAAAGAAAGAAAGAAAGAAAGAAAGAAAGAAAGAAAGAAAGAAAGAAAGAAAGAAAGAAAGAAAGAAAGAAAGAAAGAAAAGAGAGTGATAAATGGGGAAGCTCTTAAAATTTCGATGGATCACTATGTTGTGCGAACAGACTATGTTATCAACTCCATTTAAATCAGTTTTGATCAATTTAAAAAATCAAATGATGACACAGAAACCAAATCTCCATTCTTGTCCAACACAGTGTTGTTTAAGGGAGTTCGAGTTTGAAAAAGAGATTCCACTGAATGGCAACGCCGAGGGTCGATCTGCATCAAGCAGTGCAGCTCAGGCTGACACCACACTGCAGAGGAGGCAGACGACTGAGCAGATATTTGTTTCCTACGATTATGAAGCTGGGTAGTGAAGATCAAGGTGTCGGACAATCCAGTTCTGTGACTAAAGAAAAAACAAACAAAAACTCCCATCCTGGGTTACAGACTGCTGTCTTCGGGCCATAGCCGTGTATGGTAAAAGTATAGAGGGCCCAGACAGCATCTCCTTCTCTTCAGGACACAAGTACCCACATGGGGACCCCAACTTCATGAGTTCATCTGAACAAAATCACCTTCTAAAAGACTTGTCTCTCCAAAAGCCTTCCAAATTACATTGTTTTGAAAGCGAAAGTGTCAGCATATAAACTGAAAAGACACAAGCATTTAGCCCACAATGTTCTGCCCCTGACCCTCAAACAGGAAGTGCTTCTATGTCAAATTACCATCATTCCATGTTTACTTTCTCATTGCTATGACTACGTAACTGACTGGAAGACATTTTCAGAAGAAAGGACTTCTTGTAGCTCATGGCATGAAAGGGACTCCCACCATGACAGTGAGAGCGTCGGGCTGCTTGTTTACGTCTGAGAAGATCAGGAAACTGAAAGAAGACAAGAAGTGAGGCACCTATAAAACCTTAAGCCTCAATCTTTAGTAACCAACTTTCTCCAGGTAGGTCCCACCTTCTAGGGATACCACAACCTCCAAACACAGGACTACCGACTGACAGTCAGATGTTTGGCCACAGTTTCCAGGGCACATTTCACACCCAGTCCATGGCTGCATCTGGCACCTACCAACTCTTTGTTAGCCTCGATGTAACTTTTAAGTCTGAAACTCTCTTCTAAATGTCATCTGAATCATATATAAGAATTAAGGTCTGATTCACACTGAATCAAAAGCTCTCTCAAGCTGTGAACTGTGAAGCTTAGCACATGTCATACTTCTAAAATCTAATAGTAGGACAAGCATGGGGTAGGTATTCCCATTCCAAAGGGAGAAATCACAAGCTAGAAATAGGAAGTGAATTCCAAGCAAAGTAAACCTAGCCTGCTAGTCGCTTTATGCCTGTGACTCATGCATAACTCTTCTTGGTATGATGCCCTGCCTCCTGAATCATTTCGGACTCTGATGCTGCCTTTTAGGTCACTGGGATGGTGGTCTTGCTCCTGCAGTTCTGTCAAGCAACGTTACATCCCAGCTGCTTTACCAGGTATAGATCTACCCATAAGGCTTTTCTGATCTCACCTTCCCATTCACAGTTATTGGTAACACTACCCAATGCTGCCACTCTAATATCATTTGGTTCATTGAAACTGAGACATGAGAATGGATCTCTGAAACATCTGTGGGATTATTCATTCCTTTTTTTTTAAATAAGTGCATGTTCTCAGCCAGTTTCACATCCCTGCCTTATAGAATCTTAATAATTCAACAGCCTTCCTTCATCTGACCACATCTCAGCATTCCTTAAGCTGCCAGTTTCTTCTCGTGCAATGTGATCTCAAGTTGAGATGGCCAACCTCACTCTGCTTTTCTCTTCTGAAGTCTTCCCAAATTTTGTAATACAAACAGGCTAGCTTTCTAAATCTCTACACTCTGATTCTTTTTTTTTTGCTCAACCATGCTTTCTTAAAGATGTATATTACTTATTCACATTAATACTATTGATATGTAGTTTGGAAATTCCAAGATTTTCTTTCCATACCTTGCTTAGAGAGATCTTCAGCTAAACATCCCTCATCATCATGTGCAGAATTTTCAGATTAGAATATAACTGGAATATAAATTTAATTCATCCAAGTTCTTTTCCATTTTGTAGCCAGAATCGTCTTTACTCCAAACTCCAAGAACATAATTCTAATTACAGGAGGAAATCTCATGAGGAGAGCCACTGCCATAATATTTCTATAAACAATATTTCTGCTTATTGGTCTGTCTAAGAAAATTCCTCTACAGTGTTCTTCTTTTTATCCTGGCTTATAACTAAATCACCTTTAATGGTCTTGTCATAGCAATCATGAATAATTGTTAGCATTTTTCTGAAACTTATTTCAAGCATCCGTCTTGCACCCAGTCTCAAATCTGCTCTCACATTTTTAGGTATTTGACAGAACAGCACAACAAGGTCAATACCAAAATCTGTCTTAACTCAGTCTGCCCCACAGAACTGACGATATTGTATGACATCAATAAAAGGAATTTGCTCCTTATAATTCTCAAGGATCCAAGGCTAAGATAAAGGTTATAAGGGAAGGAAAGAGAGAGAAAAAGAGGATATGGGAGAGATCTGCTGTCTTTTCCCCATAAAGGCACTAATCCCATCATAAAGGCCCTAGCCTTCAGGATCTTATCTAAAGGTAATTATTTCACAAAGGTCTCACCTCTAAATCCTTTATGCTAGAGGTTAGGGCTTCAAGATATGAATGCAGCGAGCACAAAGACTTTCAGAGCATAATGGAAACTAAGCCTATTTGCATTACTAAAGAAACTATTGTTGCAAAGTAACATTGGTGAATGTATAGACACTGTGCATGATATACTAGAAAATCTAACCAACTAATGAAAAGGTAAACAGCAATATAATGAAGTTGTACGGTTAAAATTAAATATGCAAAACAAAAGTATGATTCAAAATGACAATCAACAAATGAACATTGTGTGGGTCTGTTGCTTCATCCATACAAGAATGTGTTAGTGAAATGGATATAATACTGAGTGAATGATGCTTTCTGTAGTAGTTCATCACTGTGGTTTTGTCTGCCTTTCAACAGCATCATGGAAACCAAGTCCTCTATGAAATTCTAAGAGTAGCATGGCTTCTTTAGTAAGCTTTCTTTGTGCTTAAATTAATCAAAGTTGTTTTATTACTTTTGATTAATAGTTGCACTATTAAATTGTACATGAAAATATGTAGTTATTAGAGTAGAAAAATCAATGTTAAGATGTATTTGTTCTTTTAGCATTCTCACTAAAGTTGGTATATCTTGAGAAAGACAGTCTGGAGGTCATTACTATCTTGAATTAGAAAGGAAAGGAAATATGAAAATGTCTGCTTATGGCATACAAATTGAGTTGACTTAAAGGCCTATCATTTAGGGAATGACAGGGTAGGAATCTGAGAGGAGGTAAAGAAAAGGACATTCAGCAACAAAGCAAAACATTATAAGCTTTTGCTTTCAGCTCAGCCAAGGGGCAGTGAAAAGCCAGGATCAAATCCAGAGCAGCGGGAGCTCCCAAGCAAGAAAGCAAGACACTATCCTAAAACGTGTAGTAGACATGCAAGATCTGAGCCATTGATTACTCACCATCCCATGAAAGAAATGCAGAGCAATGACAAAATTGCTCAGCTCTACAAACTACTGCAGTCTCTTGCCACTTGATACATATAAGAATCAAACTTATTTGCTCTTTGCTCAGGGTTTCCCAAAGTCTAACACAGGAGAAAGGGGCCAGCCTGTGGAAGGTGCAGCTGAAAGGGATGGCACTGCATGATCGGGAGATACATCAAAGGAACCAGACCCAGCTGCAAGCCATGTGTGACGCCGACACAGCTGTCTCTCCTTTCCCTAGGCTTGAGTGCCCTCCCTCACCTTTATACTGGGACTGTGACCCAGAGTTTATATCAGAACTAAATAAAATTAGACTTATAAGCCACATTGTATATTCCTAGATACACAGCAATCACTGAGCAACTGTTACTGTGGGCACTTACTAAAAAAAAAAAAAAAATTTATATGGAACATGAATTGTAAGTTAAGAATAATAAATATGGTAATATAATCATTTGAAAGTTGGAAGTTTTTTCTATAGTTAGAAGATTATATCATTAAAATTATTTTTGCTGTGACTAATACAGAAGGTTCACAGTAACACTGATTATTTCATGTTAAGACTTTCATTACTTAAATAACAAAGACATGAACTTTAAATATACAGGAAGTAGTAATGATAATCAAGGACATACCATATGAAACCCACAAGAGAAAATAGTCTTCCAAAGAAACAAAGTAAAAATGGATTCAGCATCTCCTTTTCTCAAAACTAAACATAAGTGATCACTCATTCACAAAAGGTAGAATTAAAAATATTGGGGTGCAGGAAGAGCTCAGAGGATAAAGACTTCTGCTATCAAGACTGACAACCTGAGTTCAATCTCCAGGTCCCACATGATGGAAGAAGAGAAACAATCTGCAACAGATGCCCTCTGACCTCCGTACAGCAAATGTTAAATACATGCAAGAAAATAGAACACTTTATGATGAAGGTTTGCATATTTATGATCATGGCACTATGATAATTAACAGTCTGCTATTAATCCCATTGCCATGTCCACTTTCCTAAACTGACTCTAAGAGAGAGAGAGAGAGAGAGGGAGAGAGAGAGAGGGAGAGAGACCCCCAAAAAACCCTCAAATCTTCAGTATAATTCCCAGAGTCCTTCTTTACCACTACTTGAATTAAAACAGAACAAAGGTAAGACTGCACTTGTTGGAAAAGTTAAGTCATCAAACATACAAGTTCCCTTCCCTTGCTACATATTCTCAGTAAAACAAGTCAGGCAATGGAGGTCTGCACTTTGAATCCCCAGGCCAAGAGGAGCAGATACAGAAGAAAAATGCCCTAATTAGTTAGCAATAAGCTGTGACCTGGAGAGCTGACGCGAATAAAACCCCTTGGAACAAGAATCTACTGGATAAGTAAATTGAGATGTGAAACAATGAAATAAATTCTGCTTGTACCTAGTGACACAGAACAATCTCATGAACGTGCTGCTGAGCTAAAGGCAAATCCTTAAGAACACATACAATTGAATGTGATGTTCAGTCGGACAGGAAGTTTGTCACAGACACACATCAAATTGTTTCTTACCTGAAAGCAAACAAGGGTACACTTACCTGCCTGCATTTTGACATAAGGTTGTGAACTTTTTCTTCTAGCCTACAAATTAGTTCCTCTTTAAACATTTAAATATTTCCACTGAGGGAAAACAAAAGCTTCAGAAGATCTGAGAGGCAGAGGACATCTTAATCTGACAGGTGAAGTAGCAGTCAGTTAAGAGAAAGGCATGTAAAGCTGAGATTGTCCTAAGTGAATGCAGATGGTAATGACCAAGAGATGAAGGCAAGGGAGAAAAGATCATTAGCTGAGGAGAAGACCACTGATGGCCGCATCAAAAGATACTTACCCTTCCTGTAGTACTGATCTCAAATGGAGTGTTGAAAACGTGTAAGTACATGAAAGGTAATTTCCTTAGTTAAAAGGAAATTTGAGCCTGCTAGTAGAAATGTACAGCAGACTAGCCCAAGAAAAAGCAATATAGACTAGTAAGCTATGATCCAAGAAAAGTAAGCTGTACTGAATTTTCAGGACAAGAACTATTCCTTGGGATGATGAGGTACAAGGTAAAAACCAAGTCACTTACAGACTGAGCTGGCCTCCAGTCCTCCAAGCCCCTCACAGTGCCAGGAAACAACATGGCAACGGTGCTCGTGTGTGTCTATGAAAATGGACCGCAAGCCAAGATTCTTAGATAACTCCAATTGCTTTTCAGAAAAACACACCTTTAGTCAGGAAGAAACTGACTAAATTAATACCAGCTGCTTCCGAACATTGAAATGAAAGTGAATAAATGAGTTACATTTCAGAAGAGATCATCGATTATGACTGGGTGATGCAGGAACACAATCTAATTGTCTCTCAGATCTTTGTTCCTTATTGAAAAGAGATCTTTAGAAACTAAGAATCTGTACAATGAAAGCAGGTTTAGATATCCCCATAGTTTGCACGCCTTTCTTCTGAAGTCAAGCAAATTTAAATTAATGTATCATACTGTTAGATAGCGTTTATCCCTTTTTTCATTTTTATCAGCTATTATTTCTGTCTAGCTTTCTTTTATTATCATATACACAAAGAAATTTGAATTATAATTACTTAAGTGGTTATTATTTAGTAGAGAAATTTGGAATTTTTTATTCTGACTCTTTAACGCATATTAATATTTTAATGTGTTCTATAAAGACAGTAATACCATTAAACAAAAAGCTAGAACGGTATGTCAGAAATTACAGGTATAATTGAGATAAAATGTGCCTGGCTAATTTGGCTTTTGCTGTAACAAAACCCTTCATTCCCAGTGTTTCTTAATTGATCAAAAACCTACCTCGGAGTTGATAGCAAATATACCATTAACTTAAAAATAATAATAAATTAGTAGGAAAGCAGAATGGCATGCTAATAGCCAACGTGGCAAAAGAATCTTAGAAATTTCCCTCAATCCCTTGTCAAGCAAAGTACTAATTGCCTGTAGAAGAAAAATTGGTGAGGAAAGAAAGGAAATGATTTGAAAGAATTTGGGCTCTCTCTCTCGCAAATCACACAAATGATTATTATTCTGTGAGCTGTAGACTGAATGACTATAATATGCTCTGCTTAGAATGCTATTGTGTTTCTCTAGTGGGTGCAGGTTTTCCTAGTATACCCAAGGTTATAAGGCTCCCTGGGAGCCTTCTAGTTCCAAGGCATTATGCAAATGTAATATATTAGCACCTGATCCTCTATTTGGAATGTTAAAAGGGGGAATTTGCTCTAAAAAAAATTTAAATAGCTCCTTTTACAGATAAAAATATAATAATAAAGGAGCCATTTTAAATGACCAAAAGCCTTAAAGATTTTGGCATTATCAAACAAAAGATACAGCAGTTCCAAGCTCAGGAAGAGAAGAATGCTTTTTCAGAGAAGGCAATTATTACCTTCTGCAAATGAAGAACAGGGTTTCCTTTTTGATGGATTTCTGGTGCTGAGCTAAATTTAAATTGTGTTATGTGTGAATATGATTAAATAATGGCAAATCCTTACCTCAAGTTACTGGAGAAAGTGGGTAAGACCCCATAGAAAGAAAAAACAAAAGTCCTCCCCACGAGCACCTGCCCACATTCAGGCTCTTTGCAAACATCTGCCAATCTAGTTAATACCAGGCCTTTGTTCCTTTTAATCCCTGCAAGTCTAGCTATGGCTTTAAATCCAATCATATTTTTAAGTCTGTAAGAACGCATGTTTTTAAAGCACTCCTGCAAAGCTATTTCAGTGTGCTAAGAAGACCTGGAGATGGTACCCCCAACAGTGCTTTGTGAATGAAACTCAGTACCAATGTGAAGAATGTTAGGTGTCTGAGGTCCTCCTGTGGTCCTCCTGTGGTCCTCCTGTGGTCCTCTGTGGTCCTCTGTGATCCTCTGTGGTCCTCTGTGGTCCTCCTGTGATCCTCTGTAATCCTCTGTGGTCTTCTGTGGTCCTCCTGTGGTCCTCCTGTGGTCCTCCTGTGGTCCTCTGTGGTCCTTCTGTGGTCCTTCTGTGGTCCTCTGTGGTCCTCCTGTGGCCCTCCTGTGGTCCTCCTGTGGTCCTCTGTGGTTCTCCTATGGTCCTCTGTGGTTCTCCTGTGGCCCTCCTGTGGCCCTCCTGTGGTCCTCTGTGGTCTTCTGTGGTCCTCCTGTGGTCCTCTGTGGTCCTCCTTTACTTGATTTCCCATCCCTTCTGCTACAGAGTATTTCACAGAACCAGAAACAGGTGATGGAAACTACTTTCTATGTAGGGGCTACCAATAAAGAAATTCTGATAGATATCAATCAGCTTTTATGCCAGATGAGTCCTGCCCCAGTCCCAGGAGACAGAAATGCTGCCCTAAACTATATGATTATTAAATTATAATTTCCAACTGGGCGGCAGTGGTGCACACCTTTAATCCCAGCACTCGGGAGGCAAAGCCAGGCAGAGCTCTGTAAGTTTGAGGCCAGCCTGGTCTATAGAGCAAGATCCAGGACAGATACCAAAACGGAGAAACCCTGTCTCAAAAAATAAATAAATAAGTTCCAGTCATTTTTATATTTATTAGATTGAACCTAAGCTTTAAAACACAAGGAACTGAGTCTGTGGATCTTCGTTAGGACGTTTCCTTGGTCATAAAAACTTCACGTGTTTTCTTCTTGTAGACCTCCTTTGATATAAGATTGCAGTCATCACCTCATGACACATGATGAAAGTCATTATTAATTTTCTGTTACTCTGACAAGATATTGACGTAATCAACTATTAGGAGGTAAGGTTTATTTTGACTCACAATTTTCAGTGTGTAGTCGTCTGTCATTTGCTTTGAGACCTACCAAACACATGGTAAAGGAAACTGCTCTCCTTATAGCATCCAGGAAACAAAAAAGAAAAGAGGAGCTGGGGTCCCCAAATCTCCATCAAGGGCATGTCCCCAATGCCCGAAACTAACTTGTTTAGTCTAGGCCTGTCCCCCGAAGGTTCCACCTCCTCGCAAACCACAGCAGTTAACACACATTACAAGTCTGCTTGGAGCTGATGCATGGTAATTGTTATGGCAGATGATTAACCAAGTTTTCTAATTACTAGTAGCAAACTCACTCAAAACAAGCCTATGTCCTCTTCATAATGATCAGACCAACGTGAAGTTATAGAAGCAACACAGGTCTAAGTGACAAAACCCACACTCACCTTTCCAAAAGCCATTGTTATTTATTGTGTGGGGCAGAGCTATCTGTCCACAAAACACGCTCAGAGGTGTGTGTCTATGAGATCTCTGAATCTGGTCAAACTGACGTTGAGACTAGCACAGCGTGTTTATAAAGATACAGGCCAAATTATTTACCCCTCCCCCTTTTTGCCTGAGAGTGATGCATACTCCAAACCAGCCTATTAAGTTAGCAGTTTCATATCTTCTAGGGAGTGCAGTTTCCTCCTTCAAGGTTTCTGATCTCCCCAAATATATTCATGATTTTAAACTCAGTCACAATTTTCAAACTTTTATAAAAACAGGAATATTACCACAAACTTTTTAACAAAACAAAAATCATGAGCTTCCATGAGCAGACGACATTGCTTACCTATAACATAATTATTCACTCCCACAAGTTAAAACAAAATTAATCTTTTCTGTGTAATGGACACATGAAAAAGAGGGAGACAGAGCCTTCTCATTACGTTCTTCTTGAAGCTGAGCCACAGCTACAAACCAAAATGAGTTCTTCTAAAATCCCACTGCAGCAGTACATCCAAGCAAAGCTATTCACAGCTAAGGTTTTATGTGAAGAGACCTTGGAGAAGGAAGGTAAAGACAGGACTGCTGAGCAAATGAAAATAGGATGAAGGAGAATATAGGATTTTTCAAATCACTTTCTTTTACTGCCCCTAGATTCATTCGATGAGGTCTCAGGACTCCCACACAAATCACCTTTCCTCATTGGCCATCGAAGAGAGTTTAAGAACCTACAGAGAATTAGAATGCTCTGAACTGAGACTGCATGAAGTCTACAGCTTCATTCCATCCAGCCATGAGAGCCATTGATGCTGTATTCCAGAAAATTAATTTTCCACCTAGTGATTTCCTTTAGTTTTCCCATAATGGAACACTGAAAAACCTACAAATCCAAGAATTTAAAGAGCTGTAGGCAGTGTTCGGCCAACTACTTCTACACAGCCTAAGTAAGTTACCCTGAAATACAGCACTGGAGGTAACTCTAAAAATGTGAGGATGAAAGGAGCTGTTGAAGAAGGGTATATAAAGAAAAGATTCTGAAATTTCATCCTTTTATTCTTTCAATAATTACAAACATATATACTCTATTCTGGTGTGTTGATCAGCATTTCCCATAGAGAGAGAAAGAGAAGGATAACTGAATACATGAAGAAAGTAAATGTATTAGGAGAGCTGATTCATGATTATGAAGATGACAACGTACTATGAAGATCATCTAAAAGTTGGAGAACTAAGGAAGAGAAATAATAGTTCAGTCATTTTGATAACATATATATATAAAATGCAATTAGTTAGGGAAAGTTTTAAAATATAATTTTTGAGATAATAATAAAACTACATAATTTTTCCTTTCTTTTCCATCCAACAACTTTCCCACATACCCTTCCTTGATCTCTTTCAAATCCATGATTTCTTTTCTTTAATTGTTCTCTCTCTGTGTGTGTGTGTGTGTGTGTGTGTGTATGTCTCTCTCTCTCTCTCTCTCTCTCTATATATATATATATATATATATATGTATATGTATAATTTCTAAGCATATAAATGCAGTCTACTCAGTCCATATAGGAAAATTTGGTCCATTGCTTTTATATTCATAGGGACTTCATGGTTAAATACATTTTCTAAACAAATTAAAGATTAAATGCAATTTGTTTGAGTTTTATACTATCCAACAAATGACATTCCTAATCCTTGTGAGGAAAAAAACACCAAAAAAAGGTACTACTTGAAGTAGGCAAAGATTTTTTTAAAGTGAAATAAATAACTTAAACTAAAATATCAAAATACAAACTAAAATACTGTAAGTTTATAATATAAGGAGTTCAAGATATCAAAAAAATTTATGAAAGAAAAAATAAATAAATTTAAATAATACTGGGGAAAACAGGGTAGGGGAAGTTAAGAGACTGGAAACTCCTAATAAATTTCCAAAAGCTAAATATCAAGATTGTTAAATATAAATATATAAAAAATTAAAATAAATCTGAATGAGAAGATCCCATTAAAAATGAATGGATATCACAAATTGGGGAAATATGCTTAAAATCACTTTTAAAATAAATATTAAAGCACAAAACATTTTTAAAATTACCAAATCAATAAAATATCAGCCACCCAAGAGAAGAATGAACAAAACAAAGAATTCAAGAAATCCAAATGGCCAGTCAACATATAGAAAAGTATTTGACTTTCAACATATTCAAACTACAGTGAAAATTATTTCACAATAAGAGTTAAGAGGAAAGTCGGCTCAGAGATTAACATTGACTCCTTAGATACTTTTCTACTGCTGTGAAGAGATACCATGAACAATGCAGCTTTAGAAGAATGGGTTTATTAGGGCTTGCACAAGGCAGAGAGACAGAGTGCCAACTGGGAACGGCTTTGGTTTTTGAAATCTCAGAGTTCCCCACCAGTGGCATACCTCCTCAAGGAGACTGTACCTCCTAATCCCTCCCAAAGAGTTCCACCAACTGGGAAGGAAGCATTTAAATATTTGATACTGCAGGAGCCGTTCTCACTCAAACCACCACACTATTCATGCAGAGAACTGGAAATCAGCTACCAGGACCCACATCTGGTGGCTCCCTGCCACCTCCATCTCCAACTGTAGAGGATCTGACATGTTCTTAATTGACTACGAGTTATCTGCACACATGTACACATACTCCTTTTTAAGAATTAAGCAAATGGGGCTCAGTTAGGAAAGTGCTTGCCATGCAAACAGGAGCAGCTGAATTCAGAGTTCACACCCACAGAGAAAGGAGAGTGCAACAAGGCACACTTATGATCCCAATGCTAGGGACAGAGATAGGGAGTCTTTGGTGCTCACTGGCCTGCCAATCACTCCTGTCAGTGAGATGCAGGTTCAGTGAGAGACCCTGTCTCAAAAAGCAAGTGAAGACCCAACACTGACCTATGACTTCAATATGCACACACTCACAGACTTACATACTCACTGGAACATGAATATACATATATCACATGCACAAATACAAAAGAAAAACAGAATTAAGAAAAGTAACAATATTTAGCAGGACAACGGAAATATGCTCTTTGTAGGACTATAAAGTAGTGCAAATAAATCTAGTTATTTTTGTGAGGTTTTTTTTTTTTAAAGTACAAATTCTATAGATCAGAAAATAGTTGATAACAGATCTGTAAATCTCTAAAACATGTATAAGATGTCCAACCAAAATTGCTGAGAAGTCATCTGAGAATCTCTAACAGATGTGAAAAATATTCAGCCAAAATCACTACAAAATATTTCACCATTTTCCAAATGGCTCTTCCCCAAAATAACAGGGGGGGAAATTGGGACTTGTGTATGCAACAAGACAGCTTAGCACAGGGAAAACTATTTCACTAAACATCATTGATGGACCACAGAAACACAGCCTGACGGAAAGCATGTTTTAAAATATTACCTGTATCCCACTTGAATTAGAATCACGACACAGAAGATTTAGTCAATGAATTTCTGACAGCAAGCAACAACTTTTATCTAGTTAACTGAATAATTTAAAACATAAATAAATTACTAAATACCTTTTGTGACAACAGCCTTATATTTAGTTAGCTAAATCATCAGAAGCATAAAGGAATCCCTGTAAACAGAGTAGTAAAGCACATCCCTAGGGCCCAGTGGGAATGGCTGAACTTAGATATCCAAGGATGGGGTCTAATTTACTGCTGCTCTAGCCAGTCACTCAAAAGGGAGCCAATGAAACTGAGGTCCAGGCCTAGAAGGTGAGCGACATGGAAAGCCAAGGTGTTGTGTCTGAGGATGCAGCAGTAAGACTGGTTCGAGAGCTAGAATGTAAGAGTCAGAGGAGATGAAGGACACCAAAATCAGGCCTTCCAAATCTGCATGAGCTAAGGGCATATGAGCTCACAGAGACTGAAGCAGCATGCACAGGGCCTGTATGGGTCCTCTAAGTAAATATCATGACTTTTGGTTTAGTGTTTTTAGTGGGACTCCTCCGTGTGTGAACAAGTGGGTCTCTGATTCTTCTCTTGGGTTCTTTTCCTTCTGTTGGTTTGTCCTGTCCAACTTTAATGCAATAGGTTTTCTTTAATCTTATCTGATAAGAGACAGAAAGGGAGTGGGTCTGAATGAGAGGGGAGGTGGGGATGAACTGGGAGGAGTAGAAGGAGGGAAAACTGCTGTGGAATAATACTTTTGTACACTGGTTTAATAAAACGCTGATTGGCCAGTAGCCAGGTTGGAAGTATAGGCAGGATAAGCAGACAAGGAGAATTCTGGGAAGAGGAAGGCTGAGTCATGAGACATCAGCCTGCCATTCAGGGCACACAGGTAAAGCCATGGAAAATGTGGTAACATGTAGATTAACAGAAATGGGCTTAGTGTAAGTGTAAGAGCTAGTCAGTAGTAAGCCTGAGCTAATGGCTAAGCAGTTCTAATTAGTATAAATGTCTGTATGTTTGCTTAGGTCTGAGCGGCTGTGGGCCAGGCAGGACACAGGAAAACTTCTGGCTACAGAAAACAGTAATCAGGATATATTATGTAGGAAAAGAACCTATTTTCAATAAAAGGGGAAAAAGAAATAAAAACTTAATAACAATAGTAATAATAATAAATATCAATGAATAATAATAGTAATAATAATAAAAACTGGCTCTAGAATTAAAACTTGCAAACCCAATTTAGCCTCTGCTAAGGGATAGGTCATTGCTTCAGAATGTTGAAGTGTCAAGCTTTGGGATACAAGCAAGGAAAGGGGAACAAATGGGAAGCCAAGCCCCTCCTTTCCCCTGCCTTAGGGTCTCCAGGCATAACTCACAGGGCCCAGCTGGTAAAGCAGAAATGGAGCTTGGAGAACCCCAGCCCCAGCATCAGCCACACAACCTCATACTAAAGAAAGCATAAAGAGGATACAAAGTCGAGAAAAATTGTTGAACAATTAAGATATTAGTCAAACTTTAAAATTTGACTGGAAATATTTCTCACCAGTACATGTGTTTTGGTAAAACTAAGAGAAGATGCATAGGGAGAGAAAACTCAACATTTTGAACAGAGATGGTGTCTGCGGGGTGTAGAGGTGTTCACACATCTCAACCTAGCCATTAGGGTTTGATTTCCAAGCTGCATGGTGTATTACAAATTAAATTATTAATTATCTCCTAGGTATTTAAGAGCACAAAATAGTTCATGAAAAATTTAGGCAAGGAACGAAGTCCTTTATAGAGAGAAAGAATATGGGATAAGACACCATGCTTTAATGCCAAAGCAAAACCATACATCTTCCTTTCTTACAGGATACAGATTCAGATCAAGAAAGAGTTCTGACCTGGTACCACATGGCTGCACTTCAGATTTCCCGCAGACTGACACTGGTTCCTGGGAAGAAAACATTCAAATCGTCCATGAAGTCCCCATCTGCCTGTGTGAGAACATCTGCAGGGATGGGAGCTCTCCTAAATTAAGTGGCGGTAATGCATCCACTAGTGAGTTTACCCTCTTCAGTGTGCCGCCAAGCTCAGCTTTGAAATGGCAATTGTGTTCAGATGTTTAAAATGAAGTCCCATTGAAAGACTCATCCAGCACTGGTAGTTCCTACCTGAATTTGAAAATATTTAATTCTACAACGTATTTACTTGCTGACAAGCCTGTTTTGATTTCTTATAATTGTATTTTAAAGGTCTAAATTGATCATATTTTACATAAATTTCGCAATGATAAACAAATGTCAAGATACTGAATACACTGTCATAAAGCAGTTTGCATCATAAGCACTGGTATAATTTTTAAATGCTTTTGTTGAGCAACTCCTGTATTTATTTTTTCTGACCAAACATTATGAGAGAGATACCTCCTAACACACATGAAGCCCCAAAGAAAAGGTAATTACATCTTCCAAACAGCTTAATGATGCCCATTACTCAATTTTGCTAATTCCATAACTGCTGAAGTGTAGGAAGATGAATCAAGACACTTGTAGACAGGAGACAATATAAAGAGTGGAAAAGTGGAGATAATTCATGAAGTGGTAATGGAAGTTCTCCCAGTAAGTTGTTTTCAGAAAGTCTTCAGCATTTTACTAATGTAGAACCAAAAGTAATAGTTTAGGAATTATTCCAATGACGTTTCCTTCTATTATTTTCAAATTCTAAAAATGTTTTGGATCGGCTGTGGATGTTGATGAGTTGGTACAGGGTTTGCCTAGCATACACAGAGGCCTGGATTCAATCGAAGCATCATCAAAACTGGGTGCCAGAGATGGGAGGGAGGGGTTCATGCTTATCCCCAGGACTCAGGAGGTACAAGCAGGCAGGATGATCAGAAATTCAAGGTCATCCTTCGACTATTTGAATTTGAGGCCATCCTAGAATACATACAGATCCATACACAAAATGTGTCTCAAATCATATGTAGGATTTTGCAGAAAAAAATATAAAAACTTGAATATGATTTTGAAATACACTGTTTGGGAAATCAAAATACCAAAGTTCTTAAGGGAAACTTTATGACATTTTATTCTTATTTATCTTATTCATTTGTTTTTAATTTTCCATTTATGCAATATCATGTCAGTCACATAGCAGATAGTTAATAAGCATTGCTGACTCAAATGTCATTTGCTAACATTTGCACACACACCGACTCAGATGCTCTTTCTCAAAAACCTGTTTTGTGGTTCATCATCATTGTAACTACTTAAATATTTGGGTGGAAAAAAGGCTTTTCTATTTGTGAATTCAGTCTTTATTGAAGTAAATAGTATTTGATTCAGTAATTGTGCTCAGATTCTAAGTGTTTTGTGGGGTGGAATGCTTTTAATACTTAGTAACTAGTATGAATAATGATTGTTCTTCCCTGGTATAAAGATCTTCCCTGGGTAGAAATGGTAATGATAATGATCACAGGGAGAGTGTATAATGATAGGACAATGAGTATTTAATATTAAATGTCTAACATACTAGACATTTTCTGGACTTAAAACACTGTGCTTTGAACTACTTCTCATTTTATTCTCAGGAAATCTAAATAACACTGGAACCCATATTTTTCCATTGAGAAAATGGTGGCTTAAAAATGGGTGAGGAACATTTCCAACATAAAACTATTTAGGAGTGATTAAAATGGGACATAGATTTCAGACTACATAGAAGAAGCATTTTAAAATAAAAACTCAGAGCACATAGGTATTTATAAAGATCTTCTCTGGGGATATAGGACAGCAGAGTCCTATGTAATAGTACATTCCACTAAACATAACTAAGGGTCACCTTGTCATTGGAGACAAGAAGATATATCACTGCTGAAGCCATCTGGTCCATTTTCTAAATAGTTTGGGACAGGTTTGTAGACTTGTTGGTGTGTTGTGCAAGGCTTTTCTTGGGGAGACTTGAACCCACAATGTCTACTCACCCTGGATAGGGAACCAACAATAAACCAAAGGAACCAGTAAACAATGACCAAATTAGCAAACCGATGAATTCTTTGAGGCTACTTCCAGGAGCAGAGATGACCCAAAGCTTCATTACTCCCTGTCCCCCAAGACAAGGTGACAGTTCGGGAAGCTGCAACCCTAGGGCTCTCTACCACTGGCAATCTCCTCGGCTGGTAGGAGACTCCGATAACCTCGGGGAAGGGCCCCATGTTCTCCTTTCCTTTAGAACTTCCTGAGACTTGTGAATTGTTTACCACCTGAATTTCATGAACCTCACCCTCTACTGGAAGGAAGGAGAATTTGTTGAGCCTGAAATGAGCCTTCCTTGAGCTGCATATTTTGGAGGAAATTGCTTCACAACAATACAAAATGTTTTGAACACATTTACTGCTTTCCCCGATTCCTCCCAGGCCCATCTCTCCTTCTTTACCTGCTCAGTGGTAGGTTTTCCTCTAGGGCCTGGGCCATCTAAACACAAGTTCTTGGCCTTGACGATGGTGTCAGGTATGAGTTTTGTCATGTGTAGCAGGCCTTAAAATCGGTCAGAAATATTTTTTAATATCTTATGTGAGATGTTGTCTGACTGAGTTGTGTCATGCAATCTGCTGCCTAGGCTGAGCCAAGTTCAGTTATAAGTGACAGTTGCTGCCAGACTGCCCACCCTGGGGAGAACCACACCACTGTGGAGAAGTGGCTCTGGCAGCCAGACAGGAAGGCTTTTGTTTGGACCACTGATAAGACTGAAGACAAACAGGAATTAAGACCCAGCTTTGATAAAGGAGTGTGGGGCTTCAATGTCTTTACATGGAATAGCAGAAAGCAGTTTTTGAATTTTTAAAAAGAAATTTCTTATGTCTAATGAAGAAAGGAGGCTTGCAATCAATGGGTAAAAGCAAATAATGATTTCCTTAATCCTGAGGCAACTAGTTAATAAATGCTTCCTAAACATTTAGTGATTGAGGAAATGACTATTAGAAACTAACCCTCCCATCTGTAAGTATGAAGTTAATTTTTCTTCTGTAAGACTGGTGCAGACTGGTGCAAATTCGGTATTCTAGCTAGCTTTGCAAAGAGACTCCTGCTACACTCATTTAGAGGCCATATAATCATGGAAGCATGCACTAGAGACCACGGAGAGACACACATGGCAGGCCAGCCATATTTATTCATCACCACAGGAATTCCTATGGATTAATCCTACAATGAAAGTCAGGAACTTCAAAGTCTTGGCTCAATTTAAGCACAGTCCTCCAGAGGGATGTATTGTAAAAGAGAGAAATAGCATTTGAAAGCGGTTTCTGAGGCCAGGATTAGCGGCTCATGTTAATATGCTACAGTAGTCCTCTGGGACTCCGCGTAGACCAGTCATTGATTTCTACATTTATCTTTCTTGGGACGTCTGTAGTCACTTCAGGGTGTCTTCATGTAATCCACTCATACCAGGGAATGTTTTCAGGGATATTCTAAATAATTAACCTTCTCACATTGGAGTTCAAGTGTCTCTCTGTGATAAAGCACTTGAACACCTCAAAAGCATAATTATAGGCATGCCCTTGAGAGTTGGACTATATCAAGTTCTCAAAATGAGTGTGGATATTAAAACTGATATAGCAGCAATTAGTTATGGATTTTCTCCATTACCTAGACCGCTGGATTGTGTCATGAAATATAACTCTGTTGGGAAAGTCCACAGAATGTGATTTCAGTCTCAATCCTGAGTCTAGAATCTATCTCCACATTTCTCTAACCTATTTGATTTGTTACTGCTATACACACATGCCTGTGTGTGTGCATGTATGTGTGTGTGTGTGTGTGTGTGTGTGTATGTGTGTGTACAATATTCAGGAATGCATGTGTCATAGTACACATGTGGAGCGCAGAGAACAACTAGATCAAACTCGGGTCTTCAAGCTTGTGCCACAAATGCCTCTATCCACTAAGAAATCTTGCCTGCCCTACTATCACATTTCCAAGGCAAAGGCGTCAAAACCATTCCAACTTTCTTTTTTGTTTGCCTGATGAATTAATGGTGTGTTAGGATAGGATAAACCTGTTTGATATATAAATACAAAATTCCTTTTGGAGAAAAATCATGAATACATTGAAAATGACAACAAATTCCTTGAATGGAAAGAAATCATTAACTAGAATTATAAGTGTATGTAAGTATGGTTAGTCCTTAAAATTGCAGTTTTATTTGCCATGTAAGCAATTATAAAGTACTTGGCGTTATATCAAGTACCCTAGAGTACCCCAAAATTATTATGACTTTAGAGTAGAAAGGTGATGTCTTCACTACCAGTACCTTAATGCTCCCTGTAGAATTCGAAATGGTTTTATACCTATCATGAGCAAATTATCTAATAATCAGAATATTTTATAAAATATCATTCTACTAGAATTACTACAAAGATCATTCCAGCATCAATTAAGACCACAGCGGGAGTACGGAGACTTCAGTATCTTCTAACTCCAGCACCAACATGAGATACACTGTGCCAGATAAGTTTGAAATGCTACACCAAGAGCTTTAAGCTTTTAGGAAAACAGATCTCAAATAAATACAACTTTTTAAAACAAATGCTTAGCTTTTCTGGATGCTAAGAATTTTACTGGTGTGCCTCTGCTTGTATGGAAAATATATGTATGGACACTATAATTCATAGAGACAGTAATTTAATATTATAAAATGTAACAATTCTTCTGAAAAATCTCCCAGTGCTTTCTCATATGCTACTGTGTTATTGTCAAGAGAATTTAGCATACTTGTTAGCCCAGGCTTCATGTCACCTTGATATCAGCTCCTACAGATGATGTCAACTATCGCTTTTTCTGCTCCTCTATCTCCAGGATATCCTCTTTACTGTGGTGAAGAGCCTTGTTCATCGTGGTCCCTCTCCCTGGCACATCTTCCCTTACTTCCTTTGGTTCACTGACCAGCGGTCATCATTCTATCAAAAATAGTAATTGTGACACATACACATGGCTCTGTTCCTCTTATGCTGTTTTGTTTCTTCACTTACTTGCTTCATTTGTGTGTTTGTTTTACACACTTCACACCACTAGCAAGATTATTTGATGTCTTCCTCCTGTAGAATATACAATTGTCCCAGTTAGGACACAGCCCCTCTAGGATTCTCTCACTATGGCTCGGAGCACAAGACAAGACAACACTACAGTATTACTATATGTCATTCCCCCTTGTGAATGCACCCTAGGGAGGATGGCTGTGATCCAGGTAAGCTGCAACTACTGTGTAACACAATGCCAATAGTACTTGTGAGAAAGTTAACATTTCTTGATTTAGCTCACATTGTATCTGTCAGATGGTTGCCTAGTTGGCTAATTGGCCTGCAAAATTTAATAATCACGACACTCACTATATATAATTTGCCATCCTTTTGGACTCTACTCTTAGTGAATATGAATACTCCACTGATTCCATTTAACTTGAAAGAGATCCAGCACCTGCTTCTGGGTTGCAATGCATCTCAGCTGTGCAGTTTTTAAATGCTTCAGCAACTGAAGTTTATATTCACTATTGAATGGCATCCCTCATCTGTAAAGTCATTTACAAACTTTATTGATCAAGCTGTACTTTTCTGAGTTGGAATTAATCTGTAGAGCCTTCTGGAAAATGAACTGAATCCTTTAGTAATCATGGGCAATGGTGGGAATTATTTGGTCTGTGGTAATTTGCATTATTTGTTTATTATACCCCATTGGTTCATGCAGTAGACTGCTGTGCTGTGTGGCAGGGATGGGAAGTCACTGGTTGCCTCTTCTTCCTCCATAGATCAAAGCATTTGAGCTA